ATTTTTTTTTTTTTTGAATTCAAATATTAATTCCAATTTATTTAATTGACTTGATTTCTTGAGAAATGAAATTGATGTCGAGTTACATGGAAGTGTAGTACCGAATTATGTGGTGGCGAAACGGAATAGATGATGTCGAAATAATTTAATGGAATCGAATTTTAAAATAGAAGTACATTCTATTGACAAACTATATAAGGATCTTTAAACATTTTCTGTAAAAAATCAGCGAACAAGTTGAAGATTTTTTCAATGTGTTATTCTTCTTTTGTCAATTTTTTTTTCAATTTGTATTATCTAATTGAATTCAGTAAATTTTTTGTGAACAAAATAAAGAATAATTTTTCACTATATACAAATTTTCACCAAAAAATTAAATAAGTGGGAAATACGATGTTAACTGACATCTACCTTTCAACTCCAGGGCCGACATCGTGGTTCAGCTGGAAGATGCGAACACATTTGAACAAACGAAAATTACCGAAAAACCCTAATGGGGCTCATTTCAAAGCGTGGAACTACATCTTTCCTGTCTCAATAATCCGTCCAATGTACAATCAGAAAAATACCAAATATAAAGGGTGGAAAATAGTAGAGCGAATGGGACTCTTAGTAAGAAAAGAATTTCTATCCTTCCAGAAATTCTTCCCAAACATTCGAGATACCTTTAATCGCTTTTGCAGGTCATGATATCGATCATAACTCACGGATAAGGGTACAATCCGATTTCATATTTATATAACCATCGTATGATTTAAGTTTTTTTGGTGTCTTGGTCACTTTTTTAATATTTTGGACATTATTTGGCATATTTGTTTCTAAGGAGGTAGAAAACCTCTTCGCATAAAGTTTGAAATTTTCAGAGTAGGGCCCATTTTGGTTTTGACCATATTCATTAATTGATTTGGCTAAAAATTGTATTTATGCTACCCTGGGGTAGGGAACCATCATACAGATAATTGCCACACAGGAATTTATTTAAGTAAAGTCCCTACATTGGAGTATCTCCAAGTCCACTTTCACATCTAATTGGTGGTCAGAAAAGAAAATTTTGTTTTTTATTGAATTTGTAACCCCCAAGAGAATATTGGTTGGGCCACGTTTTGTTATAACCCTTATATAAATGTATCCCTGATTTCAGCTGTGACCGTGGTCTTGGCCACGTTTTTCAACTGATTTGGCCATTATTTGCTGTATTTAGGCTACTTTGTGAGTAGAGAACCGTCTTACAGAAAAATATCAACATACGTAAATATTTTGGTACAGTCCCCATATAGTCCCCAGGCCCGCCGATCTATAGTGATGTTTACCGATTGACAACAACGCGGGTATTGTTTAATCGTCATTGAATTTTACTATGAACAAGAACATAGACTTTTTGGGGACTCTAATGCGCAATTTGAGGTGCTATGGTAATGGGTGTAAAAGCGTAATTAACTTTCACTATTCAGAAATTATTTTGATTAGTCGAATCAATATTTATATTAAAATTTGTTCACCTTTATGAGCTAGATTTGTGAAATATTATGCTATGCTAAATTTGCATTAAAGACTAAAACTACGGGCCGGCAACGCGGACAAATCCGAGGAGAAATGTGACAAAAATCGTCAAAATAACGAGTTTCGGGAGGTACCGTTATATGGGGACTATACCAAAACGTGGACCATTTTCAATACCAACCATCCTATACACAGTACAAATTGTTCTGCTAAATTTTGAAGCTCTACGTCAAATAATGTGGGCTGTATCGTAATTTAAATAAACAGACATACAGACGGAGTCTATGACGAACATTTAGGGATGTTACAAACGGATGAAAAAGTTAATATACCCTCCTTTCCAAGGTGGGGGATATAATAAGCATTAAAGACTAAAATTACGGGCCGGCAACGCGGACCGGGCCAGCTAGTTATAATTATAATTTAAAGTTCAAAGGACTAAATATGCTGAAGCATTTGTATCTTTTAAATTCGGGATTGTATTGCCCATGTGGTGCACAATTAATTTGAAATCAGATAAAGATATATATGGGAGCCATATCCAAATCTGAACCGATCTCGATAAAATTTGGCAAAGATATTTCTGAGCTGTATTTGATATATTTCCCTGAATATCGTTGTTACGGAGTGCATATTACGGTTGTGGGTAACAAATATAACAACTCGGATGAATAATATATATGGAAGCTATAGCTATACCTAAACCGACCTTCACCAAATTTGACATACTAGCTTCTAGACTCAATTCGGTCGTAAGTGCCAAATTCCATCCCATTTGGACAAATATTAGACGTTTGGTGCACAATAAAAGGTAAGTCGGACGAAGTTATATATGGGAGCTATATCCAAATCTGAACCGATCTCGATAAAATTTAGCAAAGGTATTTCTGAGTTGTATTTGATATATTTCCCTGAATATCGTTGTTACGGAGTGCATGGCTGTGGGTAACAAATATAACAAATCGGATGAACAATATATATGGGAGCTATACCTATATCAGAACCGATCTTCACCAAATTTGGCATACTACCTTCTAGACTCAATTCGGTCGTACATGCCAAATTCCATCCCATATTAGACGTTTGGTGTACAATAAAAGGTTAATCGGACGAAGTTATATATGGGAGCTATATCCAAATCTGAACCGATCTCGATAAAATTTGCAAAGATATTTCTGAGCTGCATTTAATATATTTCCCCAAATATTGTTGTTACAGAGTGCATATTACGGCTGCGGAGGACAAAAATAACAAATCGGATGAACAATATATATGGGAGCTATAGCTATATCTGAACCGATTTCGATCAAATTTGGCATACATATTTTCAGGCCTAATTTGGGTGTATATGCAAAATTCCATACAATTCGGGCTGATATTACACGTTTGGTGCACAATAAAAGGCAAATCGGACGAAGATATTTATGGGAGCTATATCTAAATTTTGACCGATTATCTCCAATTTCAATAGGGTTCGTCCTTAGGCCAAACAAAAGATCTTTGCAAAATTTCATCTGGATCGGGCAATAAATGCGACCTGTACTTTGTTTACAAAAATACATGGACAGACGGACGGACGGACGGACATACATAAATCGACTCAGAATGTGATTCTATGCAGATTATCAAAAGGAACTATGGGTCTATCTCGTTTCCTTTTGCCTGTTACAAACAAATGCACAAAGACATAATACCCTGACCACCTTGTGGTGTAGGGTATAATGAACAAATTATGTTTTAAGTTGCATGGATAAAAGAAAAAATAGGTGCGAAGAACTTGTGGCATTTTGAAAACTTTTTCATAGGTGATAACTTTCCAATGAAGTATATATCAATGTTTTAAACAATTGAATAAAGAAAATCGACGAAACAGCTTGTGGTGTACAGAAAATTACTACCACCACAGGGAAAGACTCTTTCAATCCTTCCACAAATTATAACACGAAAGGATTCGACAGGTTTGTCGTGGAGGATGGTTATTTGTTTGGCATGAGCACACCTTGTGTTCATCGTTTTGCACATATATGCATATGTGTACTTTAAAGCTGAACTCAAGTATGCCAATGATGTAGGCAACGGAATATGTCACTACTCAATGTTAATCTATATATTAACATGGTCGACGTCAGATGACAGGGATGAATGAATAAAATGTGGTAACAGGACATTGTTTTGATTACATTAATTGGCTGAATTGAAAACTGAGGGATTGGACAATTACTTCGGTATGGTTTCCACACTAAAGTGTTGTAATGTAAATGAATGCTTTTATACTTCAAATCTTCAAATGATGAAGTGTGTATCAGTTTGTGTCAAATATTTTGTCAGCTGTTTATGGTCTCAGTAATGTTGCGGTTGAATAATATTTTTATTTTGCCTAAATGTTCATTTGATTTTCATTTTCACCATGAGCTGAACATATCGCAATAACCCATTCGGCATATACTGAAAAATAAGTTTGGGGCAAAGCCATTGAAATTCCAAAGAGTGCGAGAACTTATACCGTAACTAAAAGAAAATAGACTCAAAAGAGCTACAGAGTTGGATCGCTTGGCCGAAAGTGCGAACTGCCGAATTTGGTTTTCTCCGATGAGAAGTTTGTTTGTTTGCCCAGCAGTTTGTAAACAACCAAAATGATCGTGTTTACAAAATTATGTTCAGACGCCGCCCATGGTGATGGTGTGGGCCGATGGTCGCTCTCCGCTCTTATTAATCAACCGTGGCATCAGAATAAATGCCGAATATTATTGCGAAAATATTCTGGAGGGTGTATTAAAGCCTTGGACGCGTAAACATTTTGGCCACAGACATTGGCACGCGCCACCCAAGAATGATTACAAAGCAAGGTTCCCCGCTTCATTTCCAGCACACAATGACCACCAAAATCTCCGGATACCAAATCGTTGGACTATTGTGTCTGAAGTATTTTGAAAAGCAAAGTTGGCACTTAAAAATACCATAGTCTCGATCATCTCAAGCGAGCGCTTCGCCGGGAAAATACCGCAGAGCAACATTCGGGCAGCGTGTGACGGTTTCATTTGACGTTTGAAGGCCATAATTCATGCCAAAGATGACCAATTCGAAGAGATCTAAACTTATTCTAAAATTTGATGCTATTTCCGACATTTTTTACTCTGATTAAATAAAATTAAAAAAAGATATAAAAATATTACTGATGTCATTTTTGTTGGGAGTTTCTTATTTACTTTCGTAAGTTTTCTTCTATGTAGTTATTTTTTCTTCTTTTAGTTTTCTATGTACAAATTAGTAATTAATCAACTTTCTTCTATGTTTCCCTTGTATCCTAACCATCACACATACTCAGTTTTTCTAACACTATGGAACATTAAACCGACTTAAAAACCGTTATATTTTTGCACGTTATGGTATTTATAATATCCGAAATCAACTTGCAATGAAAGTGCTTGCAAATTAATAAATAACAACACAATTAGAATTTTTAATATTTATTATTTGGACTATGAAAAAATACACGTTTAAAATTTTTTTAACTTAAAATAAATTCAAAATTTTCAGATTCTTTTATGAAACGTGAATTTGGATTTATAAGTACTTCTAGTCGATCCGAAAAACGGGTTGGCACACTTCACCATGTACTGTAACCTCTGCAACCTAAAATTAAAGAAAAATATAATTATTATAGACAACATATTGGCGCAACATTTATAAACTATGTATGTCCGTCCGTCCGTCTGTCCATGTTAATTTGTAATCACTCTACAGGTCGCAATTATGGCTCGATCTTCACAAAATTTAAAATGGAGGTGGGGATAGGGTCAGAATAAAACTCTATTGAGATGATCGCATAATATTTAGGGGTTGAAATGGACCAAAAACTGAAAAATTTCCTAATTTTGCAGTTGCTCTACAGGTCGCAATTATAGACCAATCAAAGCGGAAGGTATCATGGGGCTAGAGCTTTGGGCTGGGCAGAAGCCTTCCAATTTTGATGGTCATCGGTTAATACTTAGTGGTTGAAATAGACCATACCATTTGTGATAAATAATTTCCATCAAACCGCGAATATTTTTAGACCCGGCGAAATCACAAATAGACGAACAGGTCAATTCTGACCATTATGTAGATGCCGATAGTAAAAATATCGGATATATATAGCGAAATATATATAAAGTATATATACAAAGGAAGGGGATGTTAGCTAGAATGCTTATATCTCCAGAATGGCTGGAGAGATTTTGACAAATCTTGTAAATTTAGAATGCCCTTTTTGGCATAAAAGTATAAAATCTAAAAAAAAAATCGCATAAAAAGATGCCAATAGCGATGTTAATATAGATTTTGTAGTTTTTTTCACTTTTTTTCATATTTTTTATCGCATGCGATTTTTTCAATTTGACTTATAATATTGAAGTGTATATTTTGTAATATTTTTGCACTTTACAACACAGGTTGGGGTAATTATATACAGATTGCAATTATCGTCCGATCCTCACGAAACTTTTTACAAGGGTAGGACTAGGCTCAGCAGGGCTAGGTCTATCGTTTTCAAAGATGTCCGCAATATATTTAGAGGTCGAAATGGACCAACAATTAAAAATATTCTTGATTTTGCAGCCGTTATAAAGGTACCAAAAGACACGAAATCTCGCATGAAGTTAGAGTTAGGACAGAGGATAGAATGAACTTCTACTTTTGTGTGAAAAAATACCAACACTACTTACAGGCGATATTCGAAATACACAAAAGGCGAACTTCTGGCTTTTTTATGCTGATTTCGTGGACAAATATAGCCAAATTTCGTAGACAGGAAAATTATATAGATTATTCTAGATTTGGAGATACAGAGAGGCCTCTTGCCTTTGGAGATGATCGCAAAATATTTAGGGGTTCCAATGAACCAAAAACAGTAAAATGTTCCTGATCACACAATTGAAGCCAATCGACACGCCTGAGAAGAGAGTTAAGGACAGGAAAACATTTGAACAATATATATATTGGATTTTGATCTACTAACCGAACACTATTAGACTCACGTGGAATTTTTAATCTCTCTATTTTCCATTCTCGTCCATTTTGTTATCTGATCTAAGGCTGATTCACATATTTTTATGTGCAAAGTATGAACGACGAGTGGACCGATATTGGCTAGTACAAAGTATCAATTTTTAACTAAATTAGACAGACAAATATATATTTGCTATATCTCTCATAATATGCATCAATCAATTCGATATTAATTTATTAGAAGCTATTGAATTGATTTGACAAGTGTCCGATCATCTCTATCCAAAATCACTGCAAATTTGGGCGTCGATGGGTCTGTTATTGTAAACATAAACAGGAAAATGTTCAAAGCCCGTAAAATATTGTCAGGATCGATACAAATTTATGAAGTATTTATATAAACATGGATATAAGTACGCGTGGATACATATAGCTACATCGATGCTTTGAGATATGCTGATCGGTATACACAATGGAGACCAAATTTTGGATGTATGACAAACTTCTGGGTCTTGGAAAACATATAATTGTGTGTGCATCTTACCCATTCGACCTGTGACAAAGCGTAATCCATTTAATCCACAATCGCCATATTCTTAGGCTCTAAGTCAACTGTAATTTTCAGCGATTCTTTATGTTGCCTCCATTCTTGTCAATTCAACAGATACCGGGAAGTTTCAAAAAAAAGCAAAGTTGGCACTTCGACCTGTGACAAAGCGTAATCCATTTAATCCACAATCGCCATATTCTTAGGCTCTAAGTCAACTGTAATTTTCAGCGATTCTTTATGTTGCCTCCATTCTTGTCAATTCAACAGATACCGGGAAGTTTCAAAAAAAAAATCCTTTTGCTTTTGTATACGAAATGATCCAAATGATCTTGTCTTATTTGTTATTGCATTATGACGTCGAAATCTTTGTTATTGAAATGAAGATTATTTATAAATTTAAATTTTCCAATCGAATATATTTATACCCTCCACCTTGGAAAGGAGGGTATATTAACTTTGTCATTCCGTTTGTAACATCCTTAAATATTCGTCTTAGACCCCATTATGAATCAGCGTAAAATTCTAAGTCGATTTAACGTTGTCCGTCTGTCTGTCTGTTGAAATCACGATACAGCCCACATTATTTGACGTAGAGCTCCAAAATTTAGCAGAGCTATTTGCATTGTGTCTAGGATGGTTGGTATTGAAAATGAGATATATCGGTCTACGTTCTGGTATAGTCCCCATATAACGGTACCTCCCGATATTCGGTATTTTGATGATTTATGCCACATTTTTTCACGGATTTGTCTGGAAATTGGTATTTGTAGGTCATAACGGGTCCCTGAGTGTGTGGCAAAGCATTGAATGTATAGGTCCACGTTGTGGTATAGCCCCCATATAAAGGTACCTCCCGATATTCGGTAATTTGATGATTTTTGCAACCTTTTTTCACGGATTTGTCTAAAAATTGGTATTTGTTGGTCATAATGGGTTCCAGCTCCGGTGGCGAAATATTGCATGCATGGGTCCATGATTTGATATAGCCCCCATATAACGGTACATCCCGATATTCGGTATTTTTATGGTTTTTGCCACATTTTTTCACTGATTTGTCTAAAAATTGGTATTTGTGGGTCATAATGGGTCCTAGTTCGTGCAGCGAAACATTGTAATTATAGGTCCACGTTTTGGTATAGGCCCCATGTAACGGTACCTCCCGATATTCGGTAATTTAATGGTTTTTGTCACATTTCTTCGAATGTTTCTTTTACCCTAAGGTGGAGGGTATTAAAAGTTTGGCCCGGCCGAACTTAATGTTTTTTACTTGTTTTTATTTGATTTGGTTCGGCTATTTTTAATTTTTATTTCTTTGAAGTAACTATTTATATTGAATTAAATTAAATTTGATTTCCTTTGGATCCAATATATAATTTTTTTTTAATTTTCAGTCAGTTATTAAATACATTTACACCTGGATTCATTAATATAACACAGTTGCTAATTATATCCAAATTAAAACTCAAAAACTTTGCAGTTGTATTCATCAATCAGAAAACTCGTAATTTCACCTTCATATCCAATCCAACAAATTTTATGCTGTTAAAGAACTTGCTACGCATAGCGTTCATGTATTCTATTAGTTAACCAAACCGTCCGACAATAGTATTGCAACTAAATGTATCCACGATTGTATAGAATTCCGTACATACAAAAATAGCGATGATAGCGCCACTTCTCTCATGCCACCGTTGTGCTCCCATACTAAAATTGTTGTGCTTCTCCACAAATATAAATGCATGTGGTATGTAGCATTATATATGTTTCTTAGTCTGAAATGCAGACTCTAAATTCAATTATATTTGTTCGTCTGTTCATATGTGGAAGATATTTTCTGTTACCTACCCTACCTTCAAACCTGTTATTGCATGTGTTTTGTTCGGTCATGTGGTGGATTGTATTTCATAGCTTCCATTTGTAGTAGTCATAAACAAAAATATTGTTTGTTATTTTGGTGGTAGTTAAATCAATGAGAGAAGCTGAACATTTAAAGATCAGAGAGTATTTTCTTTGATTCAAGTGGTAATTTTGTTGAGAGAAAATGTATGACATGTTTCAAACAGTCAACAAACAATTCATACAAAAAACAATAAGGTTAAACATTTTACTTAAGATGGAAAAAATTATGTGGAACTTTAAATTATAATATGTAATATTGATTAATAATATTGATATATTTATTGGCTTCTGTTTCTTTTGACTTTGCATAGAGATTCACATAGATTGTTAGTAGAAGAATTTTAGTGAAAATAGATGATTCTTAAAAATTTTTCTTTACAAAATTTTGAGTATTTGATAAATTTTCGTAACATAGAATGTTTATATATTGTGTTGAGACACAATTATAATTGAGATAGTTGGAATGTTGCAATCAGACTGAACAATAAAAAATGCAGCTACATTGAATTAATATAGAATGTTTAGATACACGTGATGAAATAATTTCGAAATGTTGAATTTTTCAGAAACATTTAATATAATTTGTACAACATTCCGTAATTTATTATGTATTGGGTAGGTATGTAGGTATATACAATGGTATTTTAGAAACGTTGCATATAACCAAACTATTTGCAACAATTCGGAAACAAATTTTAAATGTTGAGATAATTTTACTTATATACATTAATATTGCATGTTGTGCAACAATGACTTTAGAGATATTTAAAAATGTATTTAGATTTTGTAAAGATACATTGGTAATGTTAAGATACTATTCTAGTATTTATACTTGAACATTAAATGTAATTATGAAATATTTTATTGTTAAAGTAATGATTGTTACTTTTGTTTAGGTACACTAGTACTCATACAACATTTGAACACAATTTTTTAACTTTTTCCTAACAATTCCATACTGAGAATGGTAATTTTGTTGAGAGAAAATATATGGTATGTTTGCAACAGTCAACATACAATTCATACAAACAAGTAATTTCAGATACAATCAGTTTACGCTTTTGTGCTTTTTGGTCGATATTAAGGAAAAAATTGTGTGGAACTTGAAATTATTATTAATATTGATAATATTGATATATTTATTGGCTTATGTTTCATTTGACTTTGCATAGAGATTAACATAGACTGTTAATAGAAGACTTCTAGTGAAAATAGATGTATCTTAAAACCTGTTCTTTATCAAATTTTGAGTAGTCGATATTTAATATTATTATTAATAATTCGTAACATAGAATGTTTATATATCGTGTTGAGATACAATTATAGTTGAGATAATTTAAATGTTGCAATCAGACTGATCAAAACAAAAATCAGCTACATTGAATTAATGTAGAATGTTTAGATACTCGGTTGAGATAATTTCGAAATGTTGAATTTTTCAGAAACATTTAAATAATACGTGCAACATTCCGTAATTTATTATGTATAGGTAGGTATGCGGATACAATGGTCTTGTTGCAACGTATTTTAGAAACGCTTTATATAACCAAACTATTGTGCAACAATTAGGAAACAAATTTTAAATGTTGAGATAATTTTACTTATATACATTAATATTGATGGTTTATTTTTCGTAATTTTAGCTATAATTCTCTTGCATGATGTGCAACAATGACTTTAGAGATATCCAAAAATGTATTTAGATTTTGTAAAGATACATTAGTAATGTTGAGATACTATTCTAGTATTTGTACTTGAACATAAAATGTAATTATGAAACATTTTATTGTTAAAGTTATGATTGATACTTTTGTTTAGGTACACTCATACAACATTTAAACACAATTTTGCATCTTTTTCCTAAAAATTCCATACTGAAAATGGTAATTTTGTTGAGAGAAAATGTATGGAATGTTTGCAACAGTCAACAAACAATTCATACAAACAAATAATTTGAGATACAATCAGTTTACACTTTTGTGCTTTTTGGTCGATATTAACGAAAAAACAAGTAAGCAAAGGCTATAGTCGGGCGGGACCGACCATGTGATACCCTACAACACTACAATATGTTAGAAGCCCTCTTATGTCCAAATCCATTTTGGAAGATTTCGCTTTTGAAATTATGTCACGGAACACGGCCCAGATATTTTGACACGGAAATTTACCACTATTTACGCACTCCGTTGTGCTGTTAGTTGTTGTGATCCATTTGGCTCCGTTTGGCTTCAATTGTGTTTTCAAACAAATATAGTGGTCCATTCTACCCGCTGTCCAAAACTCTAACTTCATGCGAGACTTCGTGTCCTTTGGTTTCTATTTGTTACCTTCCTTACGGCTGCAAAATCAGAAACATTTTTAGTTGTTGGTCCATTTCAACCCCTCAATATATTGCGGAAATCTTTGAAAACGATAGGAATAGCGCTACCCTTATGAGGATCAGACAATAAATGCAATATGTATACAATAACCCCAACCTGTGTTGTAAGGTGAAAAAATTTGACAAAATGTACACCTCAATATTATAAGTCAAATTGAAAAAATCGCATGCGATAAAAAATATGAAAAATAAAAAAAAAAAATATGTATTAACGTCATTATTGGCATCTTTTTTTATGCGATTTTTTTAGATTTATACTTTTATGCCAAGAGGGCATTCAGAATTGACAAAATTTGTCAACAGCGATCCAACCATTCTTGAGATATAAGCATTCTATCTAACATCCCCTCCTTTTGTATATACACATTGTATATATTTCGCTACATAAATCCGATATATTTACTATCGGCATCTACGTAACGGTCAGAATTGACCTGTTCGTCTATTTGTGATTTCGACAGGATTAAAAATATTCGCGGTATTTTGTAAATTTGACTTTAATTTAACACAAATGTTATGGTCTATTTCACCCACTTAAAATTATCCGATGACCATCAAAATGAGAAGGCTTCTGCCCAGCCCTAAGCTCTAGCCCCATGCTAACTTCCGTTTCGATTGGTCCATAATTGTGACCTGCAAAGCAACTACAAAATCAAGAAATTTTTCAGTTTTTGGTCCATTTCTACGATCATCTCCAAAAGAAATAGGGTTCTATTCTGACCTTAACCCTACCTACATTTCAAATTTCGTGAAGATCGGGCCATAATTGCGACCTGTAGAGGGATTACAAATTAACATGGACAGACGGAAGGACGGATCGACTCAGCTCGGCGAGATAGGAAGATCCATATATACTTTCCTATGTGGGAAATCAATATTTCGAGGTGCTACATAATTTTTGGCCCAATCAAACTTATAATACCCCAACACATAGTGTTGTAGGGTATAAAAATGATTTGTGACCAAAAACAAATATGTGTTTCAATCAAGTGTTTCTGTATGAATATCGATAGTGACAGTTTGGGTTAAATTAAATTGATTGAGGTTTTTTACTCAACAAAAGAAACAAGTAGCAGTCGTGTCAATCTTTAAAACTTTCCACCACTTGGCAGAAAATAGCAAAATTAAAAAACCAGTAAGGAAAGCTCAAAAGTCGGGCGGGGCCGACTATATGATACCCTACACCACTATGCATATTTAGTAGAGCTCTCGTAAAAAGGTTTATACAGGACATTTCAGAGCTCTATGAGATATTTGGTACAAAATCAAAATCTATCTAATTCTATCGTGCATTTTACGAACTATAGCTATCTCTCAAAATTTTACGTATTAGCTTCTAGGCTGGTGATTTGGGCTGATATTGACCATTTAGTGCACATTTAACCCGAAATCGGATGAAGATATATATGAGAGCTATATCCAAATCTGAACCGATTTCGATAAAATTTAAAACAGCTATTCCTGTGCTCCATCTAACACCTGGTACCAAATATCACGCTTGTGGAGTGAATATTACGAATGTATGGGACTAAAACTCTAAATCGGATGAAACATAAATATGGTTGCTATATCTGAACCGATTTTCACTAAATTTGATATACTTGCTTCTAGGCTGAATTTGGTCCGATGTACTAAAACTCAGTCCATTTGGACTTATATCGGCCATTTGGTGCACAATTAACCCGAAATCGGATGAAGATATATATGGGAGCTATATCCAAATCTGAACCGATTTCGATAAAATTACAAGAAGCTATTTCTGGGCTGTATCTTATATCTGGTACCAAATATCATTCTTGTGGAGTGCATATTACGAATGTGAGAGGCTTAAACACCAAATCGGATGAAAGATATATATGGGAGCTATAGCTATATCTGAACCGATTTTCTCCAAATTTGATATACTTGCTTCTAGGCCGAACTCGGTTGGGTGTGCCAAAATTCAGTTAATTTGGACTGATAGTGGACATTTGGTGCACATTTAACCCGAAATCGGATGAAGATATATATGGGAGCTATAGCTGTTTCTGAACCGATTTTCTCCATATTTGTTGTATTTGCTTTAAGGCTAATCTCGGTCACATGTGCCAAAATTCGGACCATTTGGGCTGATATTGGCCATTTGGTGGTCAATTTACACGAAATCGGATGAAGATATATATGGGAGCTATATCCAAATCTGAACCGATTTCGATAAAATTTAAAACAGCTATTTCTGTGCTCCATCTAATACCTGGTACCAAATATCACGGTTGTGGAGTGCATAGTAGGAAAGTGAGGGACTTAAAGATCAAATCGGATGAAAGATATATATGGGAGCTATAGCTATATCTGAACCGATTTTCTCCAAAT